TGTAGGGACTTTTTTTTCTTTCTTTCTGGTGCCTTCCAAGCAGCGTGTTGGGAGCTGGTGGTCGGGGTGACCTTGCAGGAGGGCAGGGTGTCCCCAGGGCTGCTGCCACCCCCACCGGCCGCGTCTCCCGCAGGTGCGGATGGCCCTGAAGAACGCAGAGAAGGAGCTGGAGTCCCACTGCAGCTGGGCTGCCCCCGAGGCCCTGCAGAAGTGGCTGCAGCTGACCCACGAGGTGGAGGTCCAGTACTACAACATCAAGAAGCAGAACGCTGAGAAGCAGCTGCTGGTGGCCAAGGAAGGGGTGAGGATGGCACGGTCTGCTCCTCGGGCCCCCCTGGTGGGGTGAGGTTTGGGGAAGGTGAAGTGTTGATGACCAGGTTGGATGGGGCTTGGAGCAACCTGGTCTGATGGGAGGTGTCCCTGCCCATGGCAAGGTTTAGATGATCTTTAAGGTCCCTTCCCACCCAAACCATTCCGTGATTCTCTGAAGGTTTGGTGCTGAGTGGGAGTCGCTGCCCCCTGTGACAGCTGCGGGGTAGTGGGGAAGCAGCAGGTTCTGCAGCTCTTCCACACAATCCCAGCTCGAGGTGATTTCCCCTGCGTAGGCACCAAAACCCCTGCTGGGTGCCTGTGATTGCAGCCATGAATCATTCCTGCATTCCCAGTCAGTCCCAATTTTCCGTGCCAAGCGACAAGCCTGGAGCTGCTGGGACGTGTCTCTGGGCTCAGGCACAGCCCGGGCAGGCAGCACAGGGCAGTTTGTCTGCATCAAGATGCTTTTATTCTGAGGACTTCAACGTTTTGCTGGTTTTCCTTTTGCTGTCTCCACCTCCTTTGCCCCTGGTTGATGCCCCCAGCCCTGGGAGCCAGGGAGGGTGTGCGGAGTCTCTCCTTGTAACACACACAAAGGTGAAAAAAAACAACCTCAAACCAACAGCCCGAGGGCATAAATGTTGTTTGTTTAGTCGTTTGTTCATGGGAAGGAGAAACCAAGGCTTTGTGAGAGCCTTGCAGTGTCTAGAGTAGCTGGTTCAGTTCCCTCTCACTTTTGGGAATTCAGAAGGGCTGGGGAGGAGCATCAAAGGCTCAGCCTCGGTGCTCCCTGGCAGGTGCCTCAGCCCGTGCTAGGAAGAATAAATCCTTCAGTAAAAGCCCCACTCACACTATTTACACGTGTGCAAGCAGCTGCTGGGGCTATTTCTGTCTCAGCCCATCCAGGATGTTCTGGTCCTGGAGGAAACATAAGGTTATCTTCTTTCTGTGACCTTTGTCTGTTCATCTTCCAGGCTGAAAAAATCAAAAAGAAGCGCAACACCCTGTTTGGGACGTTTCATGTTGCTCACAGCTCATCCCTAGATGATGTTGATCATAAAATCTTAACTGCAAAGTGAGTATCTGCTGAGCAGCCTCCCTACCCCCTGCCTCCCTCTTCATCCCTCTCATGTTACAGACACGAGCCCATTTGGGTGCTCCTGGGCTCCTTTTGTTCAGCTTGTGTTGACTGGAGCTGCCAGGGGTTGGACTTGCTCCTTCCCATCAATAACCTTCTAGTTTTATCTGTGTGGAACAAGAAGAGCAATTCCTGTCCAAGTGAGGATTCAGGAGGCTGCAGGATTCTTAAGTGATTATCCCTGGGTAGTTCAGTTGTTGCTGGTTTTTAAATTCCCAAATTCCTGAAAGTAGAATGAGAGATGGCCCAGCTATTGGGATACAAAGCTGAACCACCAGCCTCCCCATTGCAGACAACTTCTGGTGGGTTCTGCATCCCTGCCCTGCATTGTGTCCAGATCTGGAGCCCCCAGCTTAAGGACATGGACCTCCTGAAGTGAGTCCAGAGGAGGCCCCAGAGATGCTGGGAGGGCTGGAGCAGCTCTGGAGCCAGGCTGGGAGAGTTGGGGTGTTGAGCCTGGAGAAGAGAAGGCTCCAGGGAGAGCTGAGAGCAGCTTCCAGGACCTGCAGGGGCTCCAGGAAAGCTGGGGAGGGGCTTGGGACAAGGGCAGGGAGGGATGGGAGCAGGGGGAAGGGTTTCCAGCTGGCAGAGGGAGCTGGAGCTGAGATGGGAGGGAGAAATTCTGGGCTGTGAGGGTGGTGAGAGCCTGGCCCAGGTTGCCCAGGGAAGCTGTGGCTGCCCCATCCCTGGGGGTGTTGAAGGGCAGGTTGGATGGGGCTTGGAGCAGCCTGGGCTGCTGGGAGGTGTCCCTGCCCGTGCAGGGGGGACACTGGGTGGGCTTTAAGGCTCTGTGGTTCCATGGTGTCCCGTGTCTGGCTCCAGGCAGGCTCTCAGCGAGGTGACCGCAGCCCTGCGGGAGCGGCTCCACCGCTGGCAGCAGATCGAGCTGCTCTGCGGCTTCCAGATCGTCAACAACCCCGGGATCCACAGCCTGGCCTCAGCCCTCAACATCGACCCCAGCTGGATGGGCACCCCCCGCCCCAACCCCTCACACTTCATCATGACCGACGACGTGGACGACCTGGATGAAGAGCTGGTGTCCCCCATGTCCATCCAATGTAGGTGGCCCCGTGTTGGGCGGGCGCGGTGGGGCCGGGCTGGGGAGGGGGTTAAAGAGTGGCAGGGGGGGGTGGGGCCTCCACCTTGGTTTTCAAATGAGCAAAAGCAAATTGTTAAAAGGGCCAGGAATGTCCACAGGTGCCAGCCCCACCACTGCCGGGGTTGCTTGGAGCCCCTTAGTTCCAACAGAACCAGTTCCTTGTAGAGGTTCTCGGTCACCGCTGCCCCTCAGGTGTGTGGGGCTCCTCAACCACCTGGCTTTGAGAGTTTACAAAAAAGGACCCGTACAAAGCACAGGCAGGGCTCAGAAAGGGGAGGGAGAGATACAAAGTGCATTCTCTTGATCTCTGAGCACTCGTTTGGGGTGTAAAAGGACCCAGAGACACCCCGTTCTCACACACATCCTTGGCCTTGAGACTCTCTGCCCTGGGCAGCAGCTGGGGTTGATGCTGCCTCCTCATCACCACCTGTGAAACAGTTCCTGGAGCAGAACCTGAACCCCCCATGTCCCAGCTCCTGTGCCTGGGCTGTGGTCACCAAGAGGGATGTTCTGTCCCTTTGCATCAAATACAAAGTGCATCAACACCTGTAGAAAGGAACATGTGTCCTTGTGATGGGGGGTGGGCTCTTGGGAACTCTCTTGCAGGAAGGGACTGAACTCTGGTCACCCTCTGACTTGCTCTCAGTTGCTGAGTTCTTGGGTGAAGTGGTGGTTGTTTCCTTCTCTGCTGAAGGTTTGTGAATTGACAGGCTGGGAGAGTTGTAGTGTTGAGCCTGGAGAAGAGAAGGCTCCAGGGAGAGCTGAGAGCAGCTTCCAGGGCCTGAAGGGGCTCCAGGAAAGCTGGGGAGGGGCTTGGGACAAGGGCAGGGAGGGATGGGAGCAGGGGGAAGGGTTTCCAGCTGGCAGAGGGAGCTGGAGCTGAGATGGGAGGGAGGAATTCTGGGCTGTGAGGGTGGGGAGAGCCTGGCCCAGGTTGCCCAGGGAAGCTGTGGCTGCCCCATCCCTGGAGGTGTTGAAGGGCAGGTTGGATGGGGCTTGGAGCAGCCTGGGCTGCTGGGAGGTGTCCCTGCCCATGCAGGGGGGGCACTGGGTAGGATCTGAGGTCCCTTCCCACCCAAACCATCCCATGATTGTATGAAAAGTCTGTTTAACTGGGTAGAAGGTAAGAAGAGGAGCAGAAGGGTCTCAGGGCTGGCAGGAGGTGCCTGTACAGGCCATCACTGCCCCTCCCTCCTGGTGTCAGGTTCTGTTGGATGTTGTGAAGCTCTGCAGGCAAGTGCTGAGGTCGGGCTCAGGGTGATGAGGGGGATGAAGGCAGAGCAGCCAGGATTTGGGAAGCCTGCAGGACCTTCAGGCAGGAGGAACAGGGGGAGCTGCACGTTTCCAGGGCTCAGCAAACACGGGGGGCTGGGTGTGAGTTAAATCCTCAAACAGGTAATGGTGTCCTACCAGCACTCACCGTTAGGAACCAGGCTAGAGAGCTCTTAATAAAACACTTGCAGAGTTGCAAGCAAGGTGTTAACGAGAGATGAGGTGTTAATGAGGGATGAGGTGTTAATGAGGGAGGAGAAAAGCCCTCAAGCAGGAGGTGAGTTTGAGCCTTTGTCCCAGATTTTAAGTCTCAGCCCCTTTTTGTGCCTCCTGTGAGACACCTCCAGGGAGAGTGTTTTTGCAGTGAGGACTGGCTGTTCCTGTCAGCCCAGTGATGGGCACCATCCCTGCCTCCCTGCAGGTGGGAACTCACCATCCCTGCCTCCCTGCCTGCCTCCCTGCAGGTGGGAACTCACCATCCCTGCCTCCCTGCAGGTGGGAACTCCCCAGGTGTGGAGCTCCCGGAGCGCAGGAGCGTTTGCTTTTTCCCTCAAGGATTTTCCCTTCTTGGTGCACAAAAAGCTGCTTCAAGGAGAGCAGCAGTTTCCCCCCCTGTCACGCGGGGGCTGTTGCCACCTGCCCAGGAGGATTCTCCCAGTAAATCACATTTTTCTCTCTCCTGTTCCCCACGGCCCATCCCAGATGCAGCCTGGCTTTTCGGGCGCAGGTTCAGTGACCGCTCGTCCCTGTCCTCGGAGGATCAGTCCCTCTGGAAACACCCTGGTTTGGTTCTCTTCACTTGTATTTTAAGTTCTGGTGTTTTTTGTTTTTTTTTTCTTGTTCTACCTTCTGCCCTTTTTCTTGACTAAAACTACAGACACGACTTTTCCAACTTCCTGGCACTAATGAATGTACCTCTGATCACTGAGTCATCAGCATCTTTACTAACCCCTGGGAAGAGTCTGGTGGGATGAAGAAGAATCACAGTTTGCTGGAGTTCTCCTGTGCTGCTGGGATTAGCTTTTATTTTATTTTACTTTTTAAAAGCCAGTTATGAAGTATGGAGGGTTGTTTTTTACTTGTTTTTAACCCTGAGGTGGAGCTGAAGGATTCAGGCTGGGCCAGAGGAGGTGCTGGTGTTGCCTTTCCCATCCCACCTCCTCCTCGCCAGCACCTCTGCTGCCATCCCGGGCTGACCCTGATCCCTCCCCATGGGGCTCCCAGGCCTCCCTTCCCTCCACATCCTTCAACAAATTAAGCAGTGCCACTTATTATCCCCCAGTGCCCTAATACTTGTGTGGTGCTGGTTGTCCTCAAGGACAGGGAGACCTGAGAGCAGCTTCCAGTGCCTGAAGGGGCTCCAGGAAATCTGGGGAGGGGCTTGGGACAAGGGCAGGGAGGGATGGGAGCAGGGGGAAGGGTTTCCAGCTGGCAGAGGGAGCTGGAGCTGAGATGGGAGGGAGAAATTCTGGGCTGTGAGGGTGGGGAGAGCCTGGCCCAGGTTGCCCAGGGAAGCTGTGGCTGCCCCATCCCTGGGGGTGTTGAAGGGCAGGTTGGATGGGGCTTGGAGCAGCCTGGGCTGCTGGGAGGTGTCCCTGCCCATGCAGGGGTGGCACTGGGTGGGATTTGAGGTCCCTTCCAACCCAAGCCAGTCTGTGTGTCAATGATGAGCAGGTTGTTTGGCAAAGGTTGCTGAGCCTTGTGCAGGTTCTGGAGCGAGATGGTGCTCGTGGGAAGTGAGGTTCTGCTGTGGCTGAGCAAGGTCAAGGTCTTGGCCTTTGTTCCTCTCCTTATCCCGGGGTAAATCCTGCAGAAGGAGAGTGCAGAGGTCTAAGGGCTCAGGGTGGGGAATGAGGTGTGGAACAGCAGGGGAAGAAACCAAATCACAGACATAGGGACAAAGGCCTGGCCCAAGAGAAACGGGCCCTGGAGCAGAAGCTTCAAACCCCCCCAGGTCTTTATCCTGCAGAGCCTGGATCCTGCAGCTGTGACTGCGGAGCTGGACCCGCAGGGGCAGGCAGGGCTCAGCTGGGCTGCCCTGTCCCTGCCACTGCAGGGGCACAGCAGGAGAGCTGGAGCAGCTCCAGGTCTGCCCAGTTACCCTCCCTCCTCTGCTCAGGTGTTTCCATTCCCCACGGGTGTGAGGGATTCAAAACTGGGCATGGGAAGGGGAGTGGGACGAGCTCCAGTGAGAGGTTTGTAGCAGAGCAAGAAGTGCTGAACCTGTGGTGGGGCCTTGAGGGAGAAATTGGTTGACCTTGGAGATGTGGACACAGCAAAGGTGCCCGAGTGGCTCTTGCTTGTTCCTTCTTCCACTGGAAACCTGTCCCAGTGATGTTCCTCCAGCACCAGGCTGGTGAGGAGCTGCAGGAGATCCTTGTGTGTGTTTTTCTAGCAGTGATTTGCTGGTTCTTCAATTCCCAAAGGAGCTCTCCTCCTCCTCCACCTCTTAGCTTTCCTGTCTCTTCATCTTTTTAACCCATTTTTACATCTATTTCTTACACATACAAGAAATCCTGAACAATCCTGAACACCTTATCTCCTGCAGAAGAGGGAACATCCTGTGTGGAGGTTGCAGCTGGTGGATTCAGCACAGCCAGCCTGGCTGGCTGCTGGGGGCAAAGCTGCCCAGGGGATCCTGGGTTTCTGTGTGTTATGGGAAGGAACCTGTGGAAATCTCCATGGAGCTGGAGGAGCCTCCTCTGCCCCTCTGAAGGCTCCACCACGTAGGTGCAGTGCAGAGGTAGTGTAGGCTTGATGGAGAGGGAACTGCCCAAGCTCTCCAGCCTCTGGTGCCTGCCAGGTGAGACTTTATGACAAGAAAGATCATAGGATCATGGAATGGTTTGGGTTGGAAGGGACCTTAAAAGATCACCTAGTTCCAACCCCCCTGCCATGGGCAGGGACACCTCCCACTAGACCAGGGGGCTGCAAGCCTGGCCTTGGAGCTTCTCTGCACCTGCACACACAGCACAGGGCAGCTTCACAGGTTGTCCTTCACAGCCCAGGTTTTGGTCCTGTTACAGTCACAGTCATGAAGTGGCAGAGGTTGGAAGGCACCTCTGAAGATCATCTAGAGCAGGGTAACCTCCAGTAGGTCACAGAGGAGCAGGTCCAGATGGGTTTGGAGTGTCAGCAGAGAGGGCATTCCCATGCCTTGCTCCAGGAGCTCTGCTGTGCTGGCCGGGGAGCAGAGTGTGCTCCTGGTGGAGCTCACCTCACCAGCTTGAGGTGACCACATCTGAACTGATCACCAGAGGCTCCTCTTTGCAGGCTGTGTAGGGA